TTTTATTTATTTGAGACAGAGAGAATGAGAGAGAGAGAGCACATGAGAGAGGGGAGGGTCAGAGGGAGAAGCAGGCTCCCTGCCGAGCAGGGGAAGAGAGAGAATCTTAAGCAGACTCCATGGTCAGTGCAGAACCCGACTTGGGGCTTGATCTCACCACCCTGAGATCGAGACCTGAGCCAAAATCAAGAGTCAGGCGCTTAACCGACTGAGCCACCCAGGCACCCCTCTGCCTCCCTCATTTTTTTTTTAAAGATTTTATTTATTTATTTGACAGAGAGTGGGAAAGAGAGAGCAAGAGAAAGCACAAGCAGGGGGAGCAGCAGAGGGAGAGGGAGAAGCAGATTCCCCACTGAGCAGGGACCCCAGGAACATGACCTGAGCTGAAGGCAGACGCCCAACCGACTGAGCCACCCAGGCGCCCCTGTCTCCCTCATTTTTAAACATTTAAATTTTACTCAAACTGAATTTTATTTTAGAATGTGTTATAAAGTACACTGTATTGGCCGTTTGGTTAAGTAGTGTCTTAATACAACTTGTTGACTATTTCATGTGTTTCTCAATTATTTGTAGTATAAATTGTTTATTTCTTTAATTTCAGTGAGGTTTATTTTAAACTTTTTTAAAATTTATTCCATCAATAGTGTGTTCTTTCATTTGTTTTTACCATGTCTTGCTTTCTGTTGGCTCCATCTTAGCTTCTGAATAGGCTCAACCTTTTCTGTTTTTAAACTTTTCTTTTGATTTTATCTCCTTGGGTTTTCTTTACTGCCCAGGTCCATAAATTTCATCTGCTCTTGCTTCTTATCAGGGCTGAGATATAGGGTAAGGCAAGTGAGATGCTTAGGGCATAAACATTTCAGGAGTCTCTCTCAAAGTCCTGCAAGTGCAGGATGCAGGGTTGGTACTTGCATGGTTTTGCTTTTAAGAATTTTGCATCCTAGGTGCCTGGCTTGCCTCACACTAGTCCTGGCCCTGCTTAAATTTCTCATAGTGGGTATTCATTGTAAGCTGTTTCTATTTCTGTTCCAAATAGGCTTCATTTATTCAAGTTTTGAGCAACTGCTCTGCGCTATGCATTGTGCTAGGTTTGGGGAATATAAAGGGTCTCAAGACACCGCTTCTTTCACCTAGATTATTTCTTCAGATTTACTCCTTCTCAAGTCTAGTGCCTTTCCCCCCATTCTGCTTCATTCCTGCCTTTTTGTACCATGGGACACTGTTAATCATTACTGCCTGTTCATCCTCACCCCAGCCCAACTCTTCAAAATATACAGCTATTTCCATGATAAGACACCCTCTCAAGGAACCAGTACATCAGTGTCCCTCATTCTGAAAGCTGATGAGGATTAGAAATTGACTTGTCCTTTCAGTGTGTTAAGGTAGGGGGGCCCAGGATTTCTCTTGGGTTAATGGGCCTTTAGACCCATGTTGCTGGGAAGGTTGCTTGTTCATTCATCTTCTGCTTTGTATCTTCTCTGTTTGGAATCTTTCCATCTCCTTCCAGTACTTTGATACCCAAAGGCAAGCTGATTCTCTGCCCAGCTATTTGGCTGACTCTTGCCAACTTTGTTTCCTGGGTCCTGTGTTCTTTTCCTGTTCTTTGCTGACTTGTTTTTAGTGTAATTTCTCTGAATGACCCTGCTCTGCTTAGGTGTTCTCACTGCTTATTCATGAAAATAAACTCATCTACTCATTTAAGGAGTGAATAATGAACACATATTCCACCCCAGGTACTATAGGAGTCACTGGGGTTATAACAATGAACCCAACCAAATGTTCCTTGTCCTCCTGAGCTAGAGAGACAAGTTAGGTATGAATTACATCAACTGGGGGGTATTTGCTGTGAAGGAAAGTTAGAGATGCAGCTGATCTTGAGACATTTGAGTTGAGATCCTGGTCTTCATTTCACTTAACTGGCAGTCAGTTTTGAGCTCTTGCCTGCATCAGGACTTGATACAAAGCACCCATTTTCAATTCTGGCTTTTGTTTTTGTATTGTCTTTTTCCTGCTGCAGCTTGCCCCCAACCCTACACCTTACCCAAGGCTGCCATGAATACAATTTACAATTACTGCCATGAATACAAATTACAATACAGTCTTACTCAGTAGTGGTTGTCAAGCATGATCATTAACTCGTTCTCCTTTGGAAATTTTCTCCCTTGTTTTCTTAACATTTGACTGTGTTGGTTCTTTTCCTACATCTTTGTTAGCTTCTTTGTTATATTTTCTACTTCTTCTTTGCATTTCCTAAAAGTTGCCCTAACCCAGATTTTGTCCTGGGCCCCTTCTGTATCAGTTTAGCCTTTCTTGGCAGTCTTGTCCATTCTAGAAAACTCTGGGTTACCATTTTTATGCAAATGGATGGCTAATTTATCTAAGTTATGCTCTAGTTTCCAAGTATTTGGGTTAGAGGTACACACAGAGGCACATTTCCATGTGTACAGGTGTATGTAGAGGTGTGTGTTCACGTAAAGACAGGGAACACCCTAAGTGGAATTCATTATCTTTAACTCAGTGATGTTATAATCTCCCAGTCTCCTTGCTTGAAATCTCGAACATTTCCCACCTTCTTGCTCTCGAGATTCCAGATCTGCCTGGCTGCCAAGTTGGGGCCAGTTTGTCCTGTAGTAATAATACCATGTCATGGGTTTCTTCTTTTCAGTATGTGCTTGTTCAGCTCTAGTTTGGGCCTTCCTTCCTTTCTCCCTGTCTGTTCTGGTTCTTTCCTAAGGTGCAGCTGCCGCTTTCTCAATTCCAGATGACTCTGAATCCTGTGCCAGGTTCATTTTTCCTGAAACACAATTCTGATCTGTTGTTCTTCTCTTCTGCTCATTCATGCTTCAGAAATTCCCTACTGCCTTTGAAAAACGGGCTGGTTTTCTAGACCTTCCAACTTGTTTTATTTTCCTTGCCACTGCCTCCCTTCATACTGGACTCTCTCCAAATGGAATTAATGTTGTAAGAACCTGCCTGTGTTTTTCTGTTTGTGTCTCTACTTTTGTTTCCTTTGCCAGCAGCATTCTTTTCTCACATTCTCAATTCTTCCTTCACATCTTTCCTGAAGTTCTCTCAGATTTCCTGACCCAGAGATACTTTCTTCCATCATAAGTACATTTACCCATACTTAAAAAAATAGAGTGCTATCACTTCCCAACTTGTATTGTTATTTCAACATGATTTTTATAACTCTAATTAGCTTTTGTGTTTTTCATTGTGCCTAGTATAGTACTTTGTCCGAGTATTTGTTGAATTAATAAGTGGATGAATGCCTTCTGAATTAAACGATCAGAGAGTCTGGCCTCCTCCTCTGTGTGCCCTTCCTATTACCTTGTTGTTTATCTAAGACCATCTGTTTCTCTCCCTTCTTGCATTTTTTTTTTTTTTTTACTTTATCCCTGAATCTCTTTGTGTATTGCTAAGTGGCCTATTACCCTTTGTCTTTGTAGCTTCTCTTTTCCTGAGTTAGTATTAATTTCACTTTAAAGAAAAATGATGTCATTTCAGTGAAGGATGTTTGTGGGAAATTTGAAGGAAATGGAAGCTAGTGTTGAGAATGACATCTTGATCCATTTTATGGGAAAGAAGCCTGCCCACCAAAGTATAGGCTTGAATCCCTGGGCTGGTGGCCAGCTGAGAGTAGAAAGTAGAAGTTGTGTTGATGTGTTCAGTATCCAGGTGGAAGGCCAGGGGCCAGCTCCAGGGCCCTGGATTCCAGTCTACTGATCCAGGCAGCTGCCGTATATTCCTTAGAAGCAGCTGCCTTGAGCTTGCGGACAGATGATTGGTTTGAAGTGATGTCAGGTAAGAGTAGGGAAATAGATGTCTAACTGCAGTGTTGCCATTTTTTGAAAGCTAGTGAACCACCTGGGGTTCCCTGCATAGTTTTGGATATCCGGTTGTGGCAGTGAATTAGGTTTTGTTGATGGATTGCAAAGGAATTAATTTACTTGGTTTCATAGATGAACGTCATTTGTCCGACATGAAACTTAGTAAGTGCTGCATCTTTTGAGTCCTACTTTAGTACCTATTTCATTATAGCCTTGAGATTCCAGATCTTTATACCTTTTTTCAAAATTCTATTCCTTCCCGCTCTTACCATTTCAGAAGCCGAATGGAACTGCAGAACTCTTTCATCCCCACCTCATTGCCCTGTTTGTGGAGGTTTTTAGTTGAAGTGGCCCAGACAAACAGGCTAGCGATACCTTGAAAAGAAACTGAGGACAGATGGTGTGCTTGCCTAACTGCCTAGGAGAAAGTGACACTGGGACCCAGGAGGCCCCCCTGCCCCTCTGATGTTTTTATCACGCGCGTACCACATTTCTGAGAGCACAGAGGAGGCTACAGGTTAACTGCTCGTCAGTCACTTATCTCTCTTTGATTTCAGCTAGTGACGACTGAGCTACACAAGGCAGGAAGAACTCTGAGCTGAGCAGTGGAGGCCCCCTCTGGATCTGGAGAGAAGAGGCAACCTTGGAACCAGTAATGAGCCATCCTGACTGCAGGCTGAACCTCCGGCCCCTGGGGACCCCCAGAGGTAGCAAAAGGAAAATGGAGTCTATTCTAGCAACTGGAGACCTGAAATGAAGTAACAGTGGAATGGAGGCGCAGGGCGGATCTTAGGGCTGAGGGACACTATAGTTCTTTTGGTGACCTGTTATTCTTCCATGTTATTTATTCTAGAATTAAGTGTGGTTTCTTGTTGTCTTAATGTATTGTTATATTGAGTCCAGCTGTTTGGTTTCCTCCAGAAAAGAGACAATCTTTTAGTAATTCCTATTTTAAAAAGTTTGGGTCTATAAACAGCAAAGCATATTGAACCCATTATTCAGATTATGTTCTGTGCATGTTGTGGTGCTGATTTAAAACTTAAGTCTCATCTCTGTACATTTTATTCATGTTTCCTTACTCATTCTTTCCTTTTTGTGACTCTTTGAAATCATTATCCGAGCATTTCATTCTTTTATTAGTCTTTCTACATTAAAAAAAAAAAGGTAAAATGTCTCCAGTTTAAAAATACAGAGATGTTTGGTTGAGGAAAGAGTTGATTGCTGCCTCATGTTTCTAGGTGTGTCCTCTGTGGTTGGCCCACATGGTGTTGGTGCTTCGCCAGGTGACAAAAAGTCAAAGAACAAATCCATACGAGGGAAGAAAAAGAGCATATTTGAAACCTACATGTCCAAGGAGGATGTCTCAGACGGCTTGAAGAGAGGAACACTTATCCAGGTGCTTAAAACATAAGAGGCGGCTATTCCTTGACTACGTGGAATCAGAAGTAATCTATTGCTCATTAAACTGTTTATTGTTCTATATTGTGTGCTTGAGGGACATGATGTGAGAGCAGGCACAGGACTTCCCACTTCTACACCTACAGTGCGGTTCGGGGCGGTAAGCGGCACAAGACAGACAGACCAAGTGCTCTGAGATTTGAGAGGAAGGAGCCATTACTTAAAGTTAGGGTTGTCTAGGAGTTTTTTGTTTTTTTTTGTCTAGGAATGTTTTATTGGAAGGGATATATTTGGACCAGGCCATGAATTGGCACAGTTGGAACAAGTGAAGGTAAGAGAAAGAGCTTTACAGATGGAGAGACCAGTGTGCGCTACTAAGACAGAAGTGGGCAATAGGGTTTGGCTGTAAGGAGCATTGAGAGTTCAGTTTGCCTGGAGCACGTGGATGCTAAATGATGGAGACTAGGCTTGAAAAGGAACCACTAAACAGCACCAGACAATATTTGTTGAGTGCTTTATAGTTTACAGAATACTTTTACAAGCTAGGTCAGTGGTTTGGCTCAGCAAAAGTTTGTTGAGCATCTACTGTGAGCCGGGAACAGTTCATGGTTGGGAGCATCCATGTCTGGATGCTCTCGAGACGAAGGCGGATGGGACCAGTTTTCTGTTCTTTGAGTTCCCAGCCCAGTGCGGGCAGGCAGTCATGTGAATGGATGATTTGGGGATAAACAGTAAGTGCTCAAATAAAAGTGTTAGCAGGCTGTATGGGAGGGTGGTGGGGGGAACTGGGAGCCTGGAGGAGGTGACTTCTTGGTGGATATTGAAGGATGACTAGTTGGGCCCTATTACATGGGTGATATGTGTGTGAGAAGGAGGTAGAGAGTTGTAGCACCGATGAAAATGTGACTTGTGAAACAGTGTGGAGTAAGGCAGCTTTGGTCTCCTTAGGCATGAAATATGAGGCAGGAAGTAGGTGATGATGAGATGGAGAGTGAGGTAGGGGCACATATTCTTTGAATTAAGTGTATTTTATAATTATTGGATTGGTATTTAGAGGCATTGCCATGTGTTACCTGGCTTACTTGAAAATGTTGGTTGTGTTCCATTCTGAACACATTCTCTCATTTCTCTCATTCTGAGAGCCCAGCTTCTATATTTGTTTTGGCTTAAGTCCAGCCAGTGAACAGATACTGTCATCTTCTTTTCCTTTTTAATCACCTTTTTGTATTTACCTGTGGTCAAGTGCACATATGATTAATGTAGATTCTTTTTTTTGTTTGATTGTAACCTTTTGACCCCCTTCATCTACCCTCTGCCTTTGCCCTGTATCCCCGCCTCCTCTGGCAACCACCAGTCTATCTCTGAGGGTTTTTTTGTTTTGTTTTTTAAGATTCCACATATAAGAGACCCAACAGTATTTGTCTTTCTCTGTTTGACCTGTTTCACATAGCATAATGTCTTTGAGGTCCATCCATGTGGTCACAAATGGCAAGATATCATCCTTTTTTTTTTTTTTGCTGAGTAATATTCCATTTTGTGTGTGTGTGTGTGTGTGTGTGTATGTGTATGTATACCACAATTTCTTTATGCATTCCTCCTTCAGTGGACATTTAGGTTGTTTTCATAACTTGTCTATTATAAATAATGATGCAGTGAACATGGGGTGCTCATGTCTTTTTGCATTAGTGTTTTTATTGACTCTTGAATGGAAAACTTTTTTTTTTTTAAAGATTTTATTTATTTATTTGAGAGAGAGAGAATGAGAGAGCACATGAGAGGGGGGAGGGTCAGAGGGAGAAGCAGGCTCCCCGCCGAGCAGGGAGCCTGATGCGGGACTCGATCCCGGGACTCCAGGATCACGACCTGAGCCGAAGGCAGTCGCTTAACCAACTGAGCCACCCAGGTGCCCGAATGGAAAACTTTTTAACAAACGAGTTGATCTTTCTGATTTTAGAGGTACCATTAGCCACCCCCCCTTTTTTTTTTTTTTTAACTTCTCTTGGATTTCCTTGACAAGGCCTCTCTTAGGACAGTTGAAGCCGCATTTGGACATTTGTCCCTTCATTAATCCGTTCATTTGCTCTTTATCCTTCAATCCACTTACTGAACTCCATTTTATCTACAAGTTTCTTGGCCTTCATCTTGTTTCATGTATGAGGACCCTTTGTGCTTTTCCCATTTTCATTTCCTGCCACTCTTCTTCAGGTACATGCTGCTCTAGTCACCCTGATCTTTAAGACCTTTCCTGTAAAAACTCTGCTCTTTGCTTTTTCCATGACTCTGTACACACTGTTCCTAGTGCTTGGAATGTTTTCTTCCATTATCTTGATGTAATTGTGCTTGAACTTTAAGTCCCTACCTAAATGTTACCCCTTTGAGAAGCCTTATTTTAATTCTCCAATTAGAATTGGCCATGACTATTTTCTTGAATCTGACTTCGTTGTTTATCCTTTATTCTAAGCTTATTACCATTTCTTGGTATTTATGTTTCCTCAAATAGATCATTCACATTCTTGTGGGGAGGGTTGTATCTTATTCCCACAAATTAGCCCAGTGTGTGACATTTGATTGATATGTAATAAGTTTATATTGAATAAATATTTATTTACTGAGTGAATAAAGGATCAGGGTACTGTCTTTTGAAGAAGGGTGAGGGAAACTCTTGTAACTTGGAAGAAAAATTGCTTATAATTTTGGTTATAGAATTTATAGAGATAGGATGAGGAAAATATTCTGGAATGATACAGTTTTTGCTCCTTCCTATTAATTTTTACTTTTGAACCAACTCTTTGCTGGTATTAAAACAAAACAAAAAGTTGATCAATATAACAACTCTCTTTCCCAGGAGTTTGTAAGTGATTCCTCCTGGCTTGTGACATCATGAGACTCTGCAGCCAGAGCCTCCCCCCACAGATGAGAACAGTTGTTCTTTGCAGATGGGGAGAGGAATGGGTTCCAGATATGAGGTCACCGTGTGAAATATACAACACTGTAAATAAGATTTTCATAGGCAGGGAAACAGAGTCCATCTGCTTTCTGATATGAACTTTATGTGTTCAGGCTTTGATGGGTAAGATAAAAAGCTAGACAAGAAAAGCTATTTAGATGTTGTTGTAGAAAAGTAAACTTATTAGATACACTTGAAAGTATTTGTTAACTTTTATATTCAAATTTAAGTATATTGTGACATCCCTTTTTTTCTTCCCATCCAGAGAAGAAACTTTTATTGAGAGATATTAAGGAGATATTTTAAAAATAAGAGTAGAATAATACTTTTATTTTGTTTTCAGTACTTTGAACAATAATTTGACATTTCATTGGTGTTTTGCCCTATGTGGGAATGAGGAATCCATAGTGACCAAAGGAATCTCTTTCCTGTCTTTGAACGGACCAGCAGTAACACATGATCATGTACATGTAATTTTGAAAAAAAAATTTTTTTTTGTAAACAAGTTCTCACATCATACATACATCCTTTCTCCATAGATGCAGTATAGGAGGTTGTTATAGGAGGTGTTGGAAGAAATGAAAGTATGGGATAGGCCTGGAGGGGACTCAGGTTTGGGGTGATGACCAGAGTAACATGGGTATGATGGCAGAATTGGCTGGTTTCCTGATCTCAGGTGATGCTTTGGCTGAAGGTGGCTCAGGTTGATCCCCCAGAGCACCTGAGGCATGATATCAGAGTTCCCCCTAAAATAGAATATTGGTGTAAAGTTGTTATTGGACCTTACAAGAATTCCTAGTCCAGGAAGATAGGATAGGATGGGTTAGTTTCTAGGACCGTCACCATTTATTAAGACTGAAATCAGCTGGAGAACATTTGGATATGAATTAAAGAGAAGAATAGAGGTGACATTACAGTGGACTGCCCAGCCATTCGGAAGGCACAGATGGTCTTCATAAAATTACTGGCAGGGCTGGTGGGAGAGCTTCAGCTCTGTAGCATTCGTTAATTAGCTCATGTTTCTTGACTATCTACTAAGTGCCAGGCATATACCAGTGAGTGAGATAGGTGATTCACTGGGGGAGACGAGCAAACACAACCAAAGACATAAAGAGGGAATTACAGCATGTGCTGAGTGCTGCTAGGGAAGTAGGAAAGATGAAAAATGAAGAATTAGAGAAAGCCACTTTACATGGGGTGGTTACCTGCTCTGAGCAGGTGATTTCTGAGCTGAGATTTGAAGGGTGAAAATGAGTCAGCTCTCAGGAGAATTAGGCAAAGAACATCATAGGCAGAGAGACCAGCTAGTGGAAGAATGGCAGGCAGAAAAAAAGCTTGGTGTTTTTGAGGAACATGAAGGGAGCTGTTGGACATAGCGAGCAAAGGGAATTACGATACGGGAATAAGCTGGAGAGTCAGGCAGCCGCCACAGCAAGGCTGTGTTGGAGAGTTGGATTTTATTAAAACTGAAAAGCTTCAGTAGGGAGAGGGCATGATGTATTTTATGCTTTAAAAACATCTCTCTGGCAGTTGTGAGGTGAATAGACTCAAGTGGAAGCTGGGTGAGAATGTGGAAGGCCATTAGAGTAAACGGGGCAAGGAGAGAAGGGTGGTGGCAGGGAATTGGTGGGGAACGGACGGCAGTGGAGCCGGACTGGCAGGAAGCTGATGGCTTAAATGTGAAAGTGAGGCAAAGGGAGGAATAAAGCAGGACTCCTAAGTTTTGAGTCAAGCCACTAGATGGATGATGTTGCCATTAACCGAGACAGGGAAGACAGAGGCCTGGAAGGTGGTGCTGGGGTGCTGGGGGAAGGGAGCAGATGGCATAAATGAGCAAAGAGGCCCTGGTGATGACTGTGGCAAGCAGAGGCAGTCGAGGCAGTTACGAGTGAGGACTCTGGAACCAGACTGCTGGGCTTGAATGTGGTGCACAGGTGGGCACCTCTCAGCACCTCGGTGTTCTCATTGGTAAAAGGGAGAACAGTAGTACCTACCTCATAGGATTGATTTGAGGGTTAAATTAGTTGATGGATATAAAGCTCTTAAAACAGCGTGTAACATGTAGTATACTTATATAAGTGTTATTTGAGATTTTTTTTTTTTATTGCTATAAGAGAAACGTTTGTTATTCAACTCAGGTGGTTGCTGCCATGGAGGGTTAGCTAGTTTTTAAAGAAAATGTGGAAATACATATTTATGTGTGAAATTCCTTTGCTTTAAGTATTCTCAAACATCCTGTAAGCTAAATAAAACATGTTTGTGATTGCCAAGTTAGGCTTATTAGCCCCGTTGTGTGGTATTTTTCTACAGTAACATTCAGCTCCTTGGGTGTGAGCGTGGAGAAGGCAGATAGTTGGGATTAACTGAGAGTGAGGGCTTGCTAGTTGAATAGAAGAGGGAGAGTGGCCCAAGACTCAGGGTTTGCAAGGGCAGGAGGTAATGACAGGCCATGGCAACTAAGTGGCCAAGGAAGTGACTAAACATAGTGTGGGGACAAAATGTGGTCAGGTCCATGGGTTGGAAGTCTTAGTGAAGACAAAGAATTGTTGAAGTGGGGTTTTTACCTAAAGTGAGATGGAAGGATAGAAGATTGTGATCAGAAAGTGTGATATTTGAGTTCTCATGTTTGGAGTTGGTATCATTAGCAATGGTGCCAGGAGACAGCAGTGAACATGGGGGATAGTGGTTAGGGTGGGTGGAGGAAAAGGTGGCTGGAGTGGCCGGCTAGGGTTGTCTGGTCAACCATGTGGATGCAAAGCTCCATGAGTGTTTATAGGAATGGCGATGCAGAGGAAGACACTGAGCCACGAGTCAAAACATTAGTGGAAAGGTTTGAAGTGAAAGCACTGAGGAGGTATAGCAGGAGCTAATGACATGATCTTCAGAGGATCTAGATTTTGATCAAGAATGGAGGAAAAAAAATATTTTTAAGTTACAATGGGGCAGCCTGGGGGAACCTTCTTCTTCTGGTCCCTGAGACACATGGTCTAGGGGAGATAAAATAGACTCCCTTTGAGAGCACTTCAAGGGAAGTGATCATATCAAGGGGACAACCAGGTTTCAGTTAGGTCAAGGAGCACAGGAGCGTTCAGAGAGAGGGTGGAGCATGTAGGAGCCTTACTGATCAAGTTCCAGGTCTAGGAAAGGGTTGAGGAGGAAGATGAGCGATGAGGGATTGGAGTAGATTAGGTGATTGTCATAAAAATGTGGAAATGGAAGTCCTGGATTTTACAGGTGAGTAAGACAAAATCTTGCTGGAAGTCTCTTTTAGTTAAAAGACCATTTCTTGGTAGTTTGGAGAACCCCCCTCTTTGCCATTCCTCTACTGGCTGCTTCCAGGAAGGCTCTGTCACATGGAACCTCTTAGCCTCAGGTATCCGGAACTGCAGGAAGTGGCTGTTTCAAATCAGGTAGAATTATACATAAATCCTTTTTTTGAAACCTTCAGCCTTCAAGATCAAGATACCTGAAGATCCCAACATCATGACCTCAGTTTCAACACAGTTGCTCTTGGTCCTCATCTCACTGCTTTTGGTGCTGCCTGTTGTTGAAGCAGTAGAAGCTGGAGATGCAGTCGCTCTCTTGTTAGGTGTGGCTCTCAGCATTACAGGCATTTGCGCTTGTTTGGGGGTATATGCACGAAAGAGGAATGGACAAATGTGACTGTGATGGGCCTTCGCTATCAAACCTTGCCTGGAAAACCTTTGTGTTATTGAGGTTAAAAACTGAGCTTTAATGTCTAAAGGTTCCCAAGAAAGAGGGTATTTTCACATTCTTGTCTCCCTGTAAATGGGAACAAATTAATATTTGTTAAATGGGAAAAAAAAAGTTTTCTTCACAACAAATAATGCAATGAAAAAGCAGTCTATAATTCATATATGCTAGTTAGAGGAAAGAGAAGACAGATGACTGAAATTTACATATTATTTCATAGTTTCTCGGAATTCTCAAAGCGCATGAAATAGGAAGAGGAAAACCCTTACCCAGAATCCTAGGAAACTGCCAGTTCCTCCATCACTGAGGAGTCTTTTCTCCATATTTTTATTAGATTTTTGTTTAACTCCCAACTTAATATTGTACTTAGATATCAAATACAGTCAGTCAGAAATAAAATTTTTATTTCTTGGTGGGGGTAAGAAAAATATCTAATGTTAAGATGGAGACAATATGTAATTTAATGTAAAAAAATATATTGACATTGAAATGGAGAAGAGATTTAATGTTAAAAAAAAAAACAAACCTTTGTATTAACTTAGTAACATCTCCATGATGAGAAGTACTAAAAATTAAATATAAACCCATTATGTTGCGTTAAAAAAAAAAAAAAGACCATTTCTTGACATGCTTTACTGACAGCTTCTTTCATCAGGCTGTGGGGTGGACTCTGGTCTTCTGTGGAATTCTGTTAGAGTTTCTTTTTCCTCAGTACGATTTGCACTCCCAAGGGAGTCTATTCCTGAGGTCCATTTCCTAAGAGTATGCTCCACTCAAACTGCAAATGTTTTTCTTGAACAAGACTTCTGTCTTTCCCTGTATGCTTTTATATATCAGGATGTTTGGGATAGAGGATCAAGAGTAGAATCTTTAATATCTATTCTTTTAAATAGAGCCTAGACAGAGCCCTGAGCAAGCTCTTTCCTTTGAGCCCAGCGTTAGACTCTCTACATGCTCTGTACTTAAAGGTCCTTTGAGAGCAGAAGGCATTCTTATCTCTATACTGTGGTATAGAGGTTGTAATCATTCACTGAACTGGAAGGCATGATAGAAGAATAGCAATTGAGGGGGAAAACCAAAACAAACCTTAGGTCAGAAAGCAGTGCCTGGAATGAGAAAATGAATTTTTAAAAAATCTAACTTGAGTGAATGGACTTGATTTATTTGGAGTGTCTTCCCTTCACTAGACACTATGCTCTGTGAGGGCAGACTATTATTACTTTCCATTGTGTCCCCATCACTTAGCATAGTGCCTGCCATGTGAGTCTTCAAGAAATTTTGTTGAATGAGTGGGTGAAAGTTTAGGATAAATGTAATAAGCCTTTTGTCTCCCTTCCCCCAACAGAAAAACAGCTGTTCTAGAAGTGAAATTACAGTGACATTCATGAAAAGGGTCTGGCCTCGGAGGGCTTTGCCAGCCTTGTCTCCCGCCCCTTCTATCTCTTACCCTAAGCAGAGTTACAGCATGATGGGAGGAGAGTATTTGCCCTCTTAAGCACTCTTGTTTACATGGTGTTCTTTGCCTGTATTTCCCTTCTGATTTATCGGCAAGTTTTTCTCCTCCACAAGGACCAGGTCAGACGCTGTCTGTGGAGCCTTTCCTAGTGCCCCCAGTTGAAAGTCAGCTGTATCCTCACTTACAGCATCCTTCATAGTTTACTTCATAAACAAGGGCTGAGCTTGGTCATCATCTCTCTCCACATTGTCTCAGGGTCTTGAATATAGTATTCAATAAATTTTGAATTAAGTCTACTTGGGATGTTAACAATAGTATAAGCTGTTGCGTGGACATTTGTAATTTAAGCATACATGGTGCACCAGTGAAGGGGAGAACTATTTTTTATTTTATGCCCTCACCTATTTTATTAATTAATGTATTAATGTAATTAATGAGTCTTTCAACATTTTAGGGGGAAAATGTTACTTAAAACACTTTCTCAAGCCACCCTTTGAGTCTGGCTCTTAGGAAAATAACTGCCTCTCTCCATGTGTTCCAGTGGCCTTCAAATGCAGCTGGAACCTTGGGAGGGTTACAGCTTCCTGCAAGAGCCTAAAATACTCAACTGTTGTTGAAGACGGCCCCCACCTGCACCCCTGTGCGTAAATAGAAGCAGACCCTGATTTGGTGCTGGAATAACATGAAGTTGAAGGCAGACTGGGTGGCCTGGTTGTCGGAGCCAGGATTCCCATTTACATTAAGAGGTGGTTCTGGACCATTTTGAATTATTGACTCATTCAGCTCTGCAGAAGGGCCAGAGTAAAAAAATATGCATCTGGTCTCTCAAGGTTAAGTATGCAGGTTGGAAATCAACCTGTATTACTTTGAAAATTGTCACGGAAACAAGCAAGCGTAGAAAGGTCTCAGTGAATAAAAAAGGCCATTATGTAGTGAGACGTAATTCCCATATAATCTTGTCTTAAAGTAAAGGTTTCAATGTGAAGCCTAGCATACGGGGGCACATAAAATTCCAGTAGCTGCTGCTTTCCCACTCCATGCCAAGCTCTGTTCCTTCTCACCTCTGCCTGTTCACAGCCAGGTGCCAGTGTGGGCTTTCAGTTTTTGATGGAACCCTGTGTTGCAGACATCAGTAGAAATCATGTTTCATGCATTTAATGAGTAGTTCTCCTAGGCCTAAATTGTTTTCTAGATTGAGCTGTTAATTAATTCCAAAACTTTTTATTGGAGAATAACATATGTATGGAAAGCTTCTAGGTAGATAACTAGTTAAATTTTCACAGATTTTATTTTTTTATTTTAAAGGGTGTATTGAGAATTAATCCAAAGAAGTTTCATGAAGCCTTCATTCCTTCCCCGGTAAGTTCAATAACTTTATAATAAACTTAATGTCACATTTAATTTTTTAGATGTGCTCTGAAAGTGAAATCATATATTCTAACTAAAAAGCAGAGTAGTAAAATCGAGGATGGGCAAGGATTTGTTTCAAATTTAAATAAGCAAAATTTGCCTTTGGCTAACAGCCCCTTCTGTCAGTCTTACACTCTCACTGCAAGTAGAGGGGATGGTATTTGTTACTAGTTGTTACTAGGGCTGTGGCCAGCAGCTGAGCCCACACAGACACCCACCAGTTCTTGGAGCTGGACGCCCTTGGTTTATAGCTGAAAGGGATTTATGGGTTTTTCCAGTGATTTAAGTTAATCTTTCCCAAACAAATATGCTATCTACTTTCTTTTTTTTTTAATTTTTTTTTTTTTTTTTATTTGCGAGAGAGAGAATGAGAGAGAGCACGAGAGGGAGGAGGGTCAGAGGGAGAAGCAGACTCCCTGCTGAGCAGGGAGCCCGATGTGGGACTCGATCCCCAGACTCCAGGATCATGACCTGAGCCGAAGGCAGTCGCTTAACCAACTGAGCCACCCAGGCGCCCTGCTATCTACTTTCGATCTACTGCATGAGCTAATCTGCAAATTTGTCCAAAAGAAAAAAGTGTAATGCTTTTTTCTTTTGGTCAGAGTTTCTCACTTTCTCACTTTTCTGCAGGTGATAGGACTTGGTACAGGGCTCTTCACCGTTGGGTCTTTATATCCTTTCTTCTGTGCATGTCATTTTACCAGGCTCTCTGCTGTTCAGGGAAGTTCGCTCTGACATGTAGTTAGCAGGAGGTCTCTGGATAAGGCTCGATTGTGCAAAGCTAGGAGAGCAATATTCTCAAATTCCTGACGTGACTTTTCCCGACTGCCGTAAATAGGATAGCTGTAGAATTATAGGTGCTTTAACAGTGGAAGAGAGTATAGGAATAAACTTGAGCTTATTGATGAGGAAATGGAATACATATATATATTTCAGTTAACATATTTCATGATGTTAAATGGCAAGTTTAGTGAGAATACAAGTTCAGTCATGTGCTTCCCAGGTGGTAGTGGTGTTCCAGTAACCTTAAGGCCTAGTCTCAAGCTCAGTTTAGTTCTTTTCTTCCCCTTGCCCTACAGAAGTCAAGGATTCACATTTGTATCTCAAGTTGCATCTTACCTAGTGAATTAGATAAAAAGTATCACTGATGTGTCACCTTGTTCTCTCTGAATCCTGTTCTGCTCCATTGACGGGCCATGCTATATATTCTGACCCTGGTACTTTGTACAACTGAGGGTCAGCTTTGAGGCAGTGACTTAGCTGCAGGAGCAGGTTCATCATTCTGTGGAAGCACAGTTTACATGGTGTTCAATTCCCGACTTTGCTCATAAGGCAAAAATCACGTTCAGTGATCGTAAAAATTACCCAGGAAAATCTCTTAGTAATATGCCACATTAGAGACAGATAATCTCTCAGGAAGTCCAGCATAACTAGCATTTTCTCTACTTTAGAAAGAATAACTGTTTCTTCATTGGCATACCAGTTGAGGGAGCTCAATTAAAATAGAGACCCGGTGTATGAAAAACATGGGTTTTTAAGCATGAAAATCATAGCCAGTGGAGTAAGGAGTTCATCCTGAGAGACACCTGGGAGCTGAGCACATTACAAGCCTCCCATCTCCTGTGTACACTGAAGTTTGCTGTCATTGACTGGAATGTTAAGGGAACTAATAGAGCATTTTGAAAACTGGACTGCTTGCTTGTTTTCTTCCCTGAGTACACAGTATTGAATTTCCCTAAGTTGGATCCCTGGTAGGCTGGTTCCTGACAAGTGTGGGGCCTAAGACAAGAGTACAAATGGAGGCACACGTACTTTATATTAAATATTTAGAAGTTATAAATCAAACTAACAAACTGTTAGATAAAATACGTTCATGACAAATAAAATATATTTCCTGTTAAATATACCTCTGTGTACCTGGGTTCAAATGTAGACTCCTTGGAGCTCCATCCTGAAGTGTGGCCGCATGGAGAGGGTCTGCCTCTGGCCTGCCCCTCTTCCCTTGTCAGTCCTGGCTCCCTGTCCCCTCTTTGATGTCTCCACCATGCCCCCCCGCCCCAACTCAGTGAGGGCCCTTGCATGTACCTGTGTGAGCATCTTACCCCACATGTCCAAGTTCTGTCCACATGCCTTAGAAATACCTGCCCTTTAGCCACCTGTCAAGTCCAGTGGGTGCCACCAGTGACTGTGGTCTGCCTCCAGGCAGACAGACCTGGGGAAGATGCCTGTGTATAGCTTGGAAGTGGGCTTGGGTCTGATTACCCCAGGGATGCACATCCATTTGGTCCCGAGAACTCTTTACCTATGGGGAGGAGTGTGACTGGAGAAGGGCCAGAGCAAAGGTCCTCTAGGCCTAATTAGGTTCCTATAAGTTAAATTCATCTTATTTATAGGTGCAAATGATGTGTTGCCACAGTTTATTTCGGTTTGTTAAAGGAAGTTAAGAAGCAAGTTACCGATGTTTCAAAAGCCCAAGTTGTTCTCCTACTTGAAATTATATTCCTGTCATGTCCTATTAAGAATCTTTTAGACAGTTGTGATATTAGGACTGGCTTATTTTTATGCCCCTTATTCTATTTGGCCACTAATGGAGTAGTAATATTGTCTCAGAGGGAGAAAAAATGCTAAAGGATTCACCTCTGAGTAACTGACTATAAAAGCTCTATCAAGGCCCAGTTGTAAATTTTGGTTGTAGATACTGGAACAATCCTACATTCTAGTTTTGTGGGTTTTTTGGTGAGTTTCAGTGTTTAGAGGCGTTCTAGAAAGCCTTGAGGAAGGAGATAGTAGAGGCAGTAAGTTATATGTAGATAAATTCCACAACCACCACTGGTCTGGATTTATGAGTATATGTAGCTAATGTCCATGTCAAGTGTGAACTGGTATGAACTGGAAAAATGCTCACTGGTGGACTAGGAGTAGAATAATAGAACCAGGGCCTGAATGTTACCTGTCCCCTGCTTTAGCAGGGAGAGTAAAAACAGGAATTGTTAGAAAAGAAGATGTAGCCTTTCCTCTGACAATAGGAAATTGAAAAGTTTACTTATTTGTAAAACTAGCGATGGATTAGATTGTCTAACGTTCCTTACAATTTTAAAATTCTGAATTATAAATTATAAAGTTTTTGGGGAGACAAAAATAGACTAGATATGATTATTTGGGTTCTTACTGACTCTAAAAACAGTTGTGAATTTATACAACGTCATTTGCTATGTTAAAATACTATTTACGTCAGTAGGCTAAGAACAGTGAATTCATCATCACTTTCTTTGTTATTAAAAAAGTACTTTGTTTTGGGGAATGCTGACTTAGGTTCATTATAATTTCAGCTGATAGAAAGTTGATTTTCATTTTCTTTTGACAAAGCCAAAACACATGGGAGAAGTCACTTATATATGTACCTGCTGGTCTCCTGAGGTTCTCAGTAAAAGTAAGATAGAGTTAGAATAAAACCATGTGACTTTCAAGCAAACCAAGATAAATTGATATTATTGAGATGCCTTTTTCTCCTGTTTGGGGATAGGATAAAGAGGAGAAATGGACTGGCTATAGAAACTTGGCTTTTTACAAAAAGTACAGGCTCCATTCTGAATTATGTTGATGCAAGAAGTTTTATAACTTTTTTTGTGCATCTTGTCATGGGAGGTACCCTTTGAACATCTGTGGAATTTATTTTGTCTAAAGGGAGCTATTCCATTGATAGAGAATGCTCTTGGGTTGTCCTCCCTGCTTGAAAGCCTCCTAAGTATTTAGTTAGATTACCCCCAGATCCCATTATATTTCCTCCAGGGTGGTTCATTATCCATTTTCCTTTTTTTCTATTCTTTTTGGCGGGTAGAGCTAGTCTTTGACATTCAAATAAAGAGCTGAACTCTTTAGCCTTTAAAAGTAGTTAAGTGGGATGATTCGAACTTTTAATATTGAGTTGTTCCCAAGTTTATGGTCTTTAAAATAAGAGATTCTGCAATAGGTACGGGCTTCTGAATGAATCCAGTAAGAGCTGAGCAGTGACGCAATACCTGGAGATTTGTGTATCGTCTGAGGTTCAACTTGGCCCTGCCTTTCTTGATTTCTTCGGATGGGAATGTGACAATAGCAGTATCTTACCGTCTTAAAATCTCTGAGCTGTCTGGGGGTGGTGTACCTGCTTATGAGAGAGATATTTTATTCCATGTGTTTTGACCAGTGATCATGGGTTGGGATGACTTCCAAACAGCTCTCTTCATTCTGGGGAAGTTGGAGAGACTCTATTGCTACATAAATTGCAGAAGGCAGCGACTGATGACCATGTGCCACCCTGTAGTTGTTCACGTTCTGTTTAGTGGTTGCCTCTTCCTTATTTCTCTGAGAAGCTCAACATGAGGTCAACTGCAGTGATTCTGTCTTTGTGGCTAACACGGTAGTGGTACCTCAGGGACTAGGGCGGGTCAGGTTTGGCAGTGTGTGCCGGGCCACAGCTGTCAGCCCATGGTTAGGTTGGAAATTGAACAGAAAAACTGTTCTGAAAGATCTCTCATGGTTTGTAATTGGAAACAATAAAAAGTGCTGAGTGTCTAATGTCCCATTTTTGGTGCTGGCGGGGCAGGTTTGGTGAATTTGGAATGCTAATTTTAATTTAATTTTTTTTTTTTTAAAGATTTTATTTATTTATTTGACAGAGAGAGACACAGCGAGAGAGGGAACACAAGCAG